TTGGATAGCTGGTAGGAGCCATTAGGAATTATTAAACATCTTCAAAAAGTGACAAGTAAGAGAGAGCTAGGACCCCTCACTGAGTAACCTTTAAAAACAGAGACATTTTTCTGCAACAAGCAGTTGGATAGAGTTGCCTTGACTATAGCTTTGTTTCAAAGAAGAAAGCTATTTGGCAATCCTCAGAAACAAGGCAACTAAAGACCACCATCTTCAGAGGAACAGAAGACAACGCTTCCACCTCAAGCCCAAGTGTGCATCTAAGACTGTGCCGTCCAGCATCTCACTTAGACTGTTTCTACGGGGCACTTTCACAGCCTCTTGCAACTCCCCCAACAACCTCAATCAGGTAAGTATGATCTACTCCACTTTATGGATGATGAAACCCAGAGAGGTAAAATAACTTGCCTGAGGTCACAGAACCAGTACAGCACAGAAGTGGGACGCGATTCTGGACAGCCCACGAGGCAACACTCCTTTCAGAGGAATCCCATGTTTCCAACCCAAAGTGCAATTCCATTCATGGTTGCAAAAAACTGAAACCATTTAGCCCCAATTTAAACATTACTCTGAAATCTACAATCCTAGATTGCTGAGGCATTCTTTCACCATTCCTTCATCTCACTGCTACTGGGAACGACTGGGTTTCCTTTATGCAGCTAGAGTCTGACCCATGACAAAAAGTTTCGTAGGAAAGCTGGCCAGGAATCAGGACACACAAGTTCTGCCCCTTCATTTGGGACCTTGAATAAGTCCCTTCTTTCTAGGTTTCTCCCTACTTCTCAGCTCCCCTTCACAGTAAAATTCCTCAGGAAGAGGCATCAAAATGTGGTTTGTAGCTCAGCAGTACACGAAGCCGCCAAAACTTTTCATAGTTATTTGCCTTTTCCAATTTCATTCTCTCACAAGTGTACTGTGAAGTTTTCCAGAAGTTACATGATGAGTGACATAGCACCAGGTTACAAAGCAAAAGCAAATAAGAATCCAGCTATCAAGGCAGTTGTTAAGATTTGCAAAAACATAAAACAATGCCACTCTACTCACTAAATATGTTTTTGAAAAGTCATTTTTCATAAATTATGTATGTTAATATGTAACTGAATTACTATTCATTTGAAAGGAACGTTTAAAACATTTCTCAGTTTTAATTTCTAATACCAATACCCATAGATATAACCCAAAACAAAAACTCTGGAATCCTCAATTTCAGGAGTGCAATGGGGCCTTCAGACCAAAAGCTTTGAGGATCACTGGCCTACTCTCTCACGGTCTCCAATTCTTCCCCTTCATTCTCTCGGAAACCCACTCTAGTTAGGGTTCTCATCATTATGAGCCACCAAAATTGCTCACGAACGCTAATGACTTCCCAATAGCTAAATCCAATGGTCAGTGGCCAGTCTCGCCTCATCTCATCTCGCTCAGCCTACCTACAGAACACGCCACAGCTGATTCCTTCCTCCTCCTGAGGTCTGTTCTCCACCTGGCTTCCAGGACACCATGCCCAGGTCTCCTATACCTCTGGCTTCCTTTCCTTCTCTCCAAGGTCTGTTTTGCTTTGAAATCTTCTCTATGCCCACTTTAGGACCTTGGTCATCTCCAAATTTGTACCTCTAGACCATTCTCTCCTCTGAATTCTAGACTCATACAACAGCCTACTTGACCTCTGTACTTGGTCACCAGTGATTCTTTTTCTTTTTCTGCCGAGCCGCATGGGTACGCAGGATCTTAGTTCCCTGACCAGGGATGGAACCAATGCACCCTGCAGTGCAAGTGTGGAGTCCTAACCACGGGACCACCAGGGAAGTCCCTCAACTTCTGTACTTGGATTCTAAACAGGCATTCCAAACTTTCAGATGACCAAGACCTAACTTTCTCCAGTCAAATCTGTTCTTCCCCATCTCATTTGGTCCCCTCTATCCTTCCAATGGCTTCCAAGGCCAAGAACTTGTAGTCATCCTTAATTCCTCTCTCACATCTTATGTTCAATCTAGCAGGAAACCCTGTTGGTTGACTTCAAAATTCACCCAAAATCCAATCATTATCTCCCCTGTTCCACTGTTCAAAGCCACCATTATCTCTCACCTGGGTCATCATAGTAGCCTCCCATCTCATCCCCTCACTTGCTCCCTTCAGTTTACTTTTAGCACTGCGGGTACAGTGATCCTTTCAAAAGATCAGACATCATACAGCTGAAAACACACCAATGACCAGAAGATTAAAAGCCACTCCTCACAGTGGCCTGCAAGGGCTGTTCTGGCTGACTCCTAATTACCTCTCCAGCTTCTTCTCCTACACTCTCCTCCCTGCTCACTCTGTCTAGCCTTCAAGCTATTACAATGGTTATTGCCTCTGTCGGGGAAGTTCTTCCTCCAGAAATCCTCATGGCTCACTCCCTCTACTCCTTCTAACCTTTGCTCAACGGTCGCTGTCTTAAGAAGACCAACCCTTATCTCTTTCACTTGGAGGTACACCTCCATCCCTCACCTCCCTGCATTCTGATCTCCCTTATCCTGGTCTATATCCCTCCATTAACCCACAGCTAAGTTATGTCTGTCTCCCCAGTAGATGTAAGCTCTACAACTTAAGAATTTTTGTTGGTTTTGCTCACTAATGTATCTTCTGTGCCTGAAATAGTCCCTGGCAAATAGTTTCTCAACAAATATGTGGAATGAATATATGGAATTAGCTTCTCCATCTATAAAGCTTGATTGGGAGAGAGGGGAGTTTAGACTCAATAGTTCCTCCCAGCTCAAGCCTCTGATTCTCTAACCAGCCAAATACTCATTTATACCACAACTGATTTGAACCTTTGGCCCTACAAGGCTCAGCTCCTGGTCACAAAGACCAGGGCCCTGGACCCGGCCCACAATTCTAAGTGCCCAGATAGGACAGGGCAGGATAGGTACCAACTAACCAAGCACTGTCCTCATTAGTTGTCAGAGTCTGGGACACTTGGCCATAACTATGTTTCTGATCTTTTCTCATCCCAAGGCCACCTATTTCGCCTACCTGAAGCAATCACTGCTATTAAGCTTTAACTTTAACTTTGCCCTGCAGCAAAGCACAAATCCCAAGTGTGGATGTCCAAGTGGGAGCCATGATTTCAATTAGTTATGACAACCCCATAATCCTAACCCAAATTCAGATCCCTCTTCCAATGACAACCTTCTTTCTACCCCAGGGCAAACTTGAATTCTAAGAGGTTTTTGTAAAGTAGAAAAGATGAGATGGAAATGGAAAGTGACAGCATGAAATACAATTAAAATACTGTCTAGCCAACCCTTTTTAGGCTCGAACATGGTACTATCCCAAACCTAGCTTTAAGAACACTGTTCTCTTACTCACTGGGCAGTAGGACAAACTGGCCTGGCACCTGGAAGATCATGTTTGTGGAATGGAAGAATTAAACCTGGAGTGACTCATTTGAGAAGTTCACTGAATACTGAAGCATAACCAGGCTCAAATCAGCATTAACCAATACCAACCAGAAATGTGAGGGTGATGAAGGGAAAGAAGGGACTAAGAACCCACCTAGGTAATGGAGGGCTCTGTGCCCCAGGTGCTGAGGCTCCTTCCTCATGACCACTGGGATCTGTTTCCACCCCCTATCACCTCCTCTCAAGCCTTCAGCAAAATCTAAGTCTAGCTTATTTCTAGCTTGCCATCTTGATACTAAGAAAAAAGGGGCTGGGGGGAGAAGGAACATGAGTTAAGATATACCTGCCCTTAAATTAGTAGGATCGTGGATAAATGACTTAACCCTTGCAGGGTTGCAAAGGTGAAACAAAATGGTACATGTGAAAATACCTAGCATTCATGGTAGGTATTCAATGTTCTTTTCTTTTCCATTCTCTTTAAGGAAAATGAACCAAATCTGACCAATACGCTAGCCAGCATGTGTATCTACTGACATTAATCTCCCAACATCTATTACTTCCTTCTTCTTCGATATTGGCCAGTTGCCTTGCCAATTCTGCCCCAAAGATCCAAGCACTCCTCTATCCTCAGTGCTACTACATTTAGGTTCAACAACAACCCTTACTAGCGTGAATCAAATAATTGGTCCAACTGGTCTCCCAATCTCCGGTTCAAATCAGCTTACACATGCTGAAGCTCTTAATGCTACATTGCTCTGCTCTGGTTTGCATATGGCTCCCAAATGCCTACTAAGTCAAGGTCAAATTCCAGGGTCCCATGTTTCACCTGATTTCTAGTCTTATTTCCCTTGCTCACATCTCAGACTCTGGTCCAACTGAACTACCAGTGCTGTTCCTGGTACACACTTTTGGATTTTCCACCTCAGCTCTATCCACGCTCCAGTAGGCCACTGTCCTCCCCAACTACCACCTGTCTACTACATCCTTCACTACTCCCAACTGCTGGAGGCTCTCCAATATGCTAGGCTCCCGCTGGCTTCAGGTCCCTTGCAGAGGCTAGGCCTTTTACCTGGGATGCTCCCCTCTGCTTCCAATTCCCTACTCTTGCTTCTGGGCACTATTTCCTGAAAGGTCAATTTCCTTACGTTCGTTGTAAAGCAACTATGATAAATACTGATTTAATGTTTTTCTCCTTGACTAAGCCGCAGAAGTCATGAGGATGGGGCATGTTTCTGATTTTGCTTACCACTGTTATCCCAGAGCCTAGCACGGTACTTGACAAATGAAAGCCCACAATCAATCTGTTAAATAAGCAAAGATTTCTCTAAAAGGACAGTCACTCACACACTGTTTATAGTATCTCAAATGGAGAAATGGACATGTGCTATCTGAAGTGGGAGAATGGTTACATTACTGTACCTATAATAGAATGTCAATTATTGAAGGCCATGGTTTCAAAGTATGACACGGAAAATGCTTGGGTTAGAGCTGAATGGAAGAGCAGGAAACTAAACCTAAAAGAGCATGATCTAAACTATGCAGAATTGGATGTGCGAGTAGGAAGGATACAAATTGGGGACAGTGTTCATATGCTGAAAAAAATGTCCGTACTTCTTTTGCACATTTTCTACAGTAAGCATTTATTAATTGATGAGAAAGTGTTTCTAAAAAACTTAAAGAGACTCAGCTCAAATGCAATTTCTACTCAAAACTTCCCTAGACTTTCTCATTTGTACTCAAATCCCACATCTCCTCATTGAGACTTGGGAGGAATCTTTGATAACCAGCACTTAGTTCTCTTCAACTCTGCATTTGCCCCCAACTCCATACCCCCTGCCTCCCTGGGCTCAGATTGAAGAATCCAGTAGTCCAGGAAGTGTGCATGCAGAACAAAAAGAAGTACACTCACCTAGTTTAAAAACACCCAAGATGCTTTGCCCTGAATTTTAAGCAGCACATGTGACCTGGTCCATTCTGGTTTCAAGTTCAAAGGCATCAGGCCGGTCCTGTGGGTTAGCAGCTAACATATCTTTCAAGAGCTGCTTGATCCCCTCAGACATGGAAGTCCTGCGTTTCTGGGGGATGTGCAACTCCATCTTTGGGTTTTCTAGCAGCGCCTCACCAACAGGGACGATCTCAGTCCCCTGTTTGATATAGGTCCCCAGGAGCTCCTTCTTGGTCTCAGAGTCAATGAAAGTGATTCTTTCTATCATTGCCCAGATGATAATGCCCAGGGCAAAGATGTCAGCCTTGGCTGTGTAGTGTCCCTCCCAGACCTCAGGGGCCATGTAGAAGTCTGAGCCACAGGCTGAGGACAGCCAGTATTTATTCACATTCACATTTTTGTTGTCTTGATTGCCCTCTTTACCTCGGGGGGCCAGCCCAGCACAGACCTTGCTTAGTCCAAAGTCTGCCACCTTGAGGATGGGGGTGCCAGACCGCTCTGTGATGAGGATGTTGTCTGGCTTTAGGTCCCTGTGCACGATGTGGTTTTTGTGCAGGAAGGCAATGGCGCTCGTGAGCTGTAGCATGAAGCTCTTGTTGGTGGCTGGGTCCGGCCTCCGGGACAGGACATACTGATTCAGGTCTCCACCTTCACAGAACTCCATGACAAACCAGAGATAGCAGGGCTCCTCAGCATAACCCAGGATCCTTTCTCCTAAATCAAGGGAAGACCAGAAAGAGCCCAAGTGAGATGGACACAGTCACACCACTTGTAGACTAAAGGGCTGTAGCATATTAAGAGTAGGAGTGACAGTGATGACAACCGTTCCAAGAGGAACAGCACAACTGGCACGGAGCCAACTCTGCACAACAAGGCCCATCTCTACTCATACAGGGTGAGTCAAGTGATAACAAGATAAGGGAACCCTGGTTTACTGATGATTAGCCAGGAGGCAACTTAGTTCACCTCTCCCAGTTTCCACTTCTGCTTCTTCACCTATAAATGGCCATGTGTAACACAGAGTACCAACACTGGCACCTGACGTTCAATTTAATATTTACTACCACCCTAGGAGGTAGGAAGAAATAGCCCCATCTAATAAAATGAACAACCCGAGGCTCACAGCGACTTAGAGTTAACAGACTCAAATCCATGACTGCAGCGCCACTGTGTTTCATTATACTGTCTCCAAATAGGCAGCACCATACCACCCACATCTCCCAAGGCTGCTGCTGAGACGAGGGAAAATATGTGAGAAGACTGTCAAATGTCTGTTACTCCATGCTAAGCCAAAGACCTTCCCTCCCTCCCTTACCTCCTGCCTTGTGCAGGGATTCTTGCCGATGCAACTAGAATGGAACTACAAGTTTATTTCAGACACACTCCAACTCAGTGTTTTCTGGTAGCCCACCACATGCCTGGCACAAGTTAGGTAAGTGACAGGCCCATCTCTATGAAGTTTAGTTTGAAGAAGATAAAGATGTTTAAAACAGCAAAAGCATCATTAGACGTGCATCTGCATCAAGGTCACGTTTTACAAACAGTGAAGGGTGGGTAGGAGTCACCAGATCTAAAGAAGTCCGAAGGGGCAGGACTTGAGTGACCCCTAAGAGACAGACAGTAAATCAGCAGGGAGAAGCCAGAAGGAAACTCTAGGCTGAGATGGGATGGATAACGAGGCACAGGAATAAACGGACCAGAGAGGTGTACATAGGAAGTCTGAAGTGGATGTAAGATGTAATCAAGTTATGTGGAAACTTGAAACTCCAGCTCTGCCTTCCTCAGAAAGTCTTTCCTTTTGAACCACAGAAACTCCAGGAAAGCTGCTGACTGGCATCTCCAAACAAATCCCAATACACTTTATAAAGCAATTAATGGTACACTGAACCCTTAGCATGAAGTTATTTGGTGACTGCAAGAGCCCAAAAAGCTTGAGCCTAAGTAGGCATGTGTCTCATCTTGCTGATTAGGAGGTTGGGTCAGCCCCGGGTGGTCACATGGATCATTCGTGACTGAGCCAGACCCTGAGGAAAAGTCCTCTGATGCCCCGAACAGTGTCTCCATTCTACCAAAAATGAAGGCTGCAACCCCTCACACAGCCTCTGCCAGAGGGTTTCTTTCACTAGTCATTTACTTTATTACAAAGAGAATGGGTGATCCAGATGAGATGTTGCTAAGCCCCGAAATTACCAAGGAACATAGCCTACAAAAAGCCAGTGGTTTGGGAGTTCTAGGTTGATCCAAGAAGATGACTAGACAGACAAGGCAAAAGCTTTAGGTTTTTTTGTTTTGTTTTGTTTTTTGCGGCACGCAGGCCTCTCACTGTTGTGGCTCCCCCCGTTGCCGAGCACAGGCTCCGGACGCGCAGGGTCAGCGGCCATGGCTCACGGGCCCAGCCGCTCTGCGGCATGTGGGATTCTCCCGGACCGGGGCACGAACCCGTGTCCCCTGCATCGGCAGGCGGACTCTCAACCACTGCGCCACCAGGGAAGCCCCAATTTAGGTTTTGGACCACGATCTGACAGACCGCATCTCCCCTGTAATTATATAATTTGTTTATGCTGCTCACAATCGAAAGCCATACAGGTAGAACTAGTTTAGGGCAGATGGGTTTTGTTTTTGTTTTTGTTTGCATCAGTTGTTTCCCATCTCATAATCCTCTTTCTAGGTCACCTGCTCCAGTAGGCTGAGGTTCTATCTAAAAGGACTGCAGGGACTTCCCTGGTGGCACAGTGGTTAAGAATCTGCCTGCCAATTCAGGGGACATGGGTTCAAGCCCTGGTCCGGGAAGATCCCACATGCCGCGGAGCAACTAAGACCGTGAGCCAGAACTACTGAAGCCCGCTGTGCCTAGAGCCCATGCTCCGCAACAAGAGAAGCTACCGCCATAAGAAGCCCGTGCACTGCAACGAAGAGTAACCCCCGCTCACTGCAACTAGAGAAAGCCCGCGCACAGCAACAAAGACGCAACGCAGCCAAAAATAAATTAAAAATAAATAAATAAAAAGACTGCAAAATGAAGTGGTGATCTGAGCCCTGATCAATCAACCTAGACTCCCGAGTAAAGACCCATAAAAAGGAGAGCAAGAAATGTTTGGGGGTGGTAGAGCCAGAAAGGAAACTATTAAAAAAGGCATCAAATTCCTTCTGCAAAGGCCACATCAGAAAACAGTGAAACTTCTGGTGGGGAAATAAAGGGTGGGGAATGATGATTATTTTATACACAAAGTTGGTAACTATGGCAATTGAAATAAAAAGACAACAACTCTGTAAAACAGACTACATTTAAGTCCAGGTTA